GATGTTTAATTTCGTACAGATAGACTGGAGAAGAACAATAAACATAGTGTTTAACTTGGGGACTACTAGACTTTAGAAACACTCCTTGTAATACACACATATTCAAAGTCCGCCCACCAATACTTTTGATACAGTAATTTAATATATGTGTATGTCAATTTTATTAATCATTTATGAGTCAGGTTATACTTCAATCCTGTTCCTAGGAAGAAAATTTACGTGATAGTATCTTAACGAAAATTTTTGATTTTTTAACGCTGAAGACACATTAATCTGATAGGATTGTATTAATAAAGTTATAAATCGTTCTAGGATCAAACAAAAGGTGTGGTGAAAATGGAAGTAAGTCTAAATAAAAGGAATAAAAGTGGTTGTAATCAATATATTTGGTGAAATATTGCATTAATCGATGAGAACTTAAAACATTTGCCTTGTGTCATTCTAAGTTTAAGATTGGGAGTGTGAATAGTTCCTAGACGAACTGATAATTTGCGCAAGATGATACAACAGAATGGCCTTATTGCCTCACGATTAAGTGAAACAAAATGCTAATCAGAAGTTTTGTTCAGTAGTGTTTTTAGATAAAATCCAAATGCATTTTGTTATCCAAGTTTATAGTATCAGAATGGGTTAGTCTTGATTAGGCACATCATGTCTTAGGTACTTAACTCGACTGGATTATTCTGAATATTTCTACACGTAGTGCGTTAACCCTAGATTCTTCACAATATCCTACTGTTGGGGACGTTAGATCCCCAGAACTCACTTGGAAAAGGACCTACATTTGTGAGTTTATTTAGAGGATTTTAATTTCTTTGCTTACGCACCAAAAGCGCTCTTTTCACCTTTATGTCGTATTTTCCAATTGGGAGAATCTTAAATGCTATTGGTCCGTTGTGTCTTTTAGTATACTATTTTGTAACTCTCCCCAAGGACGGTTTTGTTTTGTATATATACGTTTTGATTTGTGTCTGTTGTTATCGCTCGTGCTTCTGGCTTTTGTGAAATATACTTCCCCATTTCAAGCTTTGACTTCTTCCTCTAGTTAGCGGGGCTGAGACGCATCGAATAGCTAGCTTATTGGTCTTTGGTCACCAAGTCCTTGCTCCGTTGTCAAATGAAGTGAACTCGTAACGACCTCAAACCTAGCACCTACCCATTTTGTAAATAATTATTCAGTCAGTTCGTCTAGTGACTGGGATAAAAACACAATCTTTTGAATTCACTCATTTTTAATAATGTTTGTAACTTTACTGATATATTGTTTAATTTCATGCATATATGGTAGAAAGGATTTGTAGCTGAAAGTTTGACTCTGTTCTTTCACTAAATGTCAGAAATAGATTAAGTTAAACTCCTGTATTTATTCAATATTCAGTTATAGATTTTCTTAACTGAACCTCGATTTCAAAGAAAAGCACTAGTGTTTAGAATTTAAATCTTTTCCCAGTACCTAGATTGATATATTAATTAATTAGTTTGATGATGATTTCTAAGTTTCTGTAATTTATGGCTGAAAAACATTCATAGTAATAAACATAAATTTAAATCAGTAGTAATAATTTAATTATTTATATTTAAGTATCATATTTATATAACACATTTAACGGTACCTAGAATTATCAACACTAGAAATTATATGACATAAAACAAAATAACAATGAACACAAACATTCCATAATACTCGATATCTGACAGGTAAACAGAAAACACATTAAAAATGTTTCATTTTTGTTACCATTTAAAAGTTTCTTTGATTACTAGTTGTCAAGATACACTTAGTTAATAAAGATTTGTTATGGTTAGTCAAGACATTTTCAATTTTCATATGTAAATTGAAGAAGAAGAAGAAAAAGAGGAAGGAAAAAATAATCAATAGAATCCTTACGAGGCCAATAAACTGGTTTTAATAATAATAATAATAATGATAATTTCCTTATGATATTTTTGCCTAACGATAAACATGAAGATGAACAACATTTTTGTGCACATATACATGTATATATTGATTAGTTGAAAATTGAACAATCCAGACTAGAATAATTGTGTAAATTTGAACCAATCAGTGCTTCATATGAAATGAATAAAATTTCCCTATTTTTTATTATTTATCATAAATTAACACAATTGTGCATTACAAATTACAATACTGTGGATTTATTCTATTTATTTTAAATAATATACAATATATTTTTTTTCAAAAATAATGACTTCCAAATCAATTATGGATGTAGTGAGAGATTTGAGAAGAGCATCGAATTTTCGTAGAACATCAGTATTTAATGAAGATGTATGTCATAATTTTTTTGTTTGTTTGAACTGATTAAAAAATTGATTTTATAATTGGCTTATTTTAAAATTTATTTAAATTATTATTCAAAGTAATTAGTCCATTTTATAAATTTTAATAGAACAAAGAATGAGAAGATGGAGTTGATCTACAAAACTGTGATGTATTTATGTGATACATTTCGAACAATCTGGTCACACATATACTTGCCAGGATATTCTATATGAAAATTAATAAAGGTCAACTAAATGAAAGTTCAAGAAAAAAGGAACAAAAGAGAAGAGAAACAGTTTTACACCATATAAAAGTATTAGAAATTGTAGCGTTATCATAGGCCATAGAATTACTTAAGGATTATTAAGGTAAATTCAAGGTTGGTAATCCTTAAGTCATTCAATGGCGCAAATACATCACATTTTTCAGAGTAACTCCGTCTTCTCATTGTTTTATCTAAATTATTATTCATTTTATAATCTCGTCTACCACGTGACGGTTGAACTATTTCTTCTTTATGAAAAAGGGCTAATAATTGAACTCAGATAAAAGACTGGTAAAAGGTCGAGTAATTGTTTGAGTATCAAAAGTCTGAAATTTTGCTCCTCAGCTTGATTGTATAGTTTTCTGAAGGTTTTTTCTTTGAATTATGCCTAATTCAACTTGGAACATTTGAAGATAATAAGGAATATATGTATTGATTAAAAGTATGTATCATAAATCTTGTGATTAACTGTTCAAAATTTCATTCTTAATAGGTTAGCATTAAAAGAAGTCAGTTGATGATGAATCTATTTGTTATTATCTATTAGCCTTGAGATCATTTCAATGAGTTTCTTTATTTGGCAGCTAATTCAGTTCTGTAAATTTTCGAATATTTTTTTATTATGAAAATTTATGATGATCATTGTTTTAATGTTTATAGTCAACTTAAACTATTGAAATATACTTAACATCAAGTTATTTCCTCGTTGTAAATTAATTAATATATTTGTAATGTCAAAATGAGTAGGAAAAATTAAATTTTCTGACGTTTCGTGACTCAATGTAAACCATTTCTTCAGAGAATAAATAACCGAATCAAAATTAGTCCAAGTTTAAATGGTACTATTTAGACTTGGATTAATTTTGATTTGGTTATTTATTCTCTGAAGAAGTGGTTTACACTGAGTCACGAAACGTCAGAAAATCTATTTTTTCTACTTATCGGAATATTACAAATATATTGACTAATTTAAAACAATCTACCCAATACTCAAGTTAATCAAAATTCTCAAGTCAAATCTTGGTAATGATATCTACTTTCTTGTTGGTTATTTTTTTTTGAAAAGAAAAGCGTTTTCTATTTCGTTATATTAGAAATAAATTAATTACAAATTAGAGGCAAGTGTTGACGATAGTATTTTATTATAAGAAGTCTTATCGATTCGTTGTTAAGCTTTTAAACATGTAATGTATTGTTTTTTAAACTATTCTCTATTATATAACTAATGTATTTAGCATTAGTGAACAGATGAACTAACAACTACTGATGGTTTAATAAACTGAACTCTAACTACAACAGATAATGTGCCATTTCATTTTTGTTAGATTAATGTTGAAATAAAATCTCGAAGTTTACATATAAAAATATTTTATTTTGAATGGTTTACTCAAAATTTAATTTACCTAACGAACTGTTGTAAATGTAAAAAAATACTGAATCTGATGTTTGGTTCTAAATTTAAAAAATAAATCTTTCATTTAAATTAAGATCATGAATCGATCAATGTTAGACCACCATTGAAAACCTGGAAGAACTAGACGGCCATTCCGTTCTAATATGCGACCCCTGAGCAGCGTAAATATACGGTCATCCATACAAGACTCGAAATCGAGACCGTCGGTCTCGCGCGCGAATGCTTGACCTCCAAACCACTGAGCTGATGTTAATGTTTGACTTCAACCAACCCACAATATCTTGCAATCGTCTTCCACTTAATTGTTTCTTAATGTTAACGCATTATAAAACGTTTAGGTTTTATGTACTTGGTTCTATTCATAGTGTTTATACAAATGAATAATAAAAAGGTAACAAGAATAAAATAATGCTACCTTATTTCAGGGCTGTAGTCATCAATTACTAGTTGCCTAGAATTATAAATAGCAAACGTTTTACATTCTTTAGCTAATAAAATTGTGATGAATAATGTAAACGGTAAGAAAAGCTATCAGAAGAAGGAAATGTAAATTATAGTGTAATATCTAATCATATAAAAATAAGTATAAGAAGGACACAATTACTAGTAATCACGATAAAAAAATAAATGATTGTATAAGCAATCAATAAGATTGAGGTAAAATTAATTCAACAATTGAATCCCAATGGATGGGCAAGAATAAAGTTATGCAATAGGTGACAACATAAATAATTATTGTACAAAAATTAATATCGTTTATACGAGTCTATTACATACAATGTTAAGAGATGGTGAATATTTGTAGGTCAGGCGGATGATTTTGATGGATTTTTGTTCTCTGAGATGGATGGTTTGGTCATGAAAGAAAATTTCTACCTGAAATTTGTGCTGATGATGTCGTTCAGAAGAACGATGTAAACTCCACGGCCAAACCACTCAGCTCAGAGGACAAAACTCCATCAAAAACATGCAATATTAATTGCTTTATTGTACTTCATTTGATTAAATTAATCTTATTTTCTCTATTTTTTCTTCAGTTTTTAATAACACGTTTACCTGAGAAAATCATGCTGCAAATTTTTTCGCATTTAAGTCATCCAGAATTGTGTAATATTGCACGTGTTTGCAAAATGTGGCGTCGGTTAGCATATGATCATTCATTGTGGCAGTCACTTAATTTACGACCTGAATATGGTGGAATATTTGTGAGTGAATTTTTAGAGTGATTTCGATGATAAATATGAATCAAATAACCGGTGAAATTATTGACGAGACTATAATTTATGAACGAAACATTCAGGTGTAAGATAACAAGTTTCGGATATAAACGTGAGGTCCACTCATCCATTCGGCTAAACAGAGTTTTGGCATTTTAACTGATTTCAGTTTGTGATGAAAAACCCAAATCTAATTTGTGACATTAACCATCAACTTTGAATCACAGTCCTTATCCTCCACATTGGTTTAAAATCGTCATTTAGCCCTAGTCAGTTGGTGAACATTCTCAAGGCCACTTCGGCATCGCTCGAAGGTCGTCCATAAATTATAATTTCGACAAATTATCTAGTCAAACTAAAGTATATATAATTATGGTTACTTACTTACGCTATACTAGAATACTTTTAAGTCATATGAGATAAAAAGTGACCTCCAATGAAATATGTATAGAAATTGGTTAATTATTGTATACTTGTAGAATCTTGTATGTTTAAGCATTTTTGTATGTCAAATTGATGAAATGAGGTGACGATGAGTGGACTTAGTTAAATGGACTGAATTTATACGTTTTTCAATTTTTGAAAGCCTTTTGCTTTTCCCTGCCAATAATTTAACAACAGAAAGGTCTTCTGCAATGTTATGATATTTATTTTTATGAATAAGTAAAAAAATCATCTTACATAATATAATCGGTAATGACAACAATACAGTGCAACATTGATTAAAACTGTACGATCTCCTGTTGTACATACAATGATGCTTGTGCGGAAATAGAGGTACTGATAAGTGTATTGGCGAAACTTTAATGAATTGTGTCAACAAAATTACATTTTATAGATTATTTATCTAGTTAAAATATAAATAAATAGAAAATGCATTTTACTGATGATGATATGATATTGATAATTTACAATAAGGTAGATCATTTGAAAGGGACTTGGATGAATTCTAGCTTTGTTGTTTCACAATCAAATTCATTCAAGTTAGAATAAAATAGCTTGAACTAAAAGGCTTTAGTTGATTAGGTTATTTCCAAGTGACTAATGATATACTAGATCAAACAATCAGTAACATTTAACTCCTTTCAACAATTATCAAGTTAGTTACATTTTCGATAAATGTAATTTCTTTAACCTTTTAATTAATATAGTAAAATGTACCACTTGTAAAGTGTAGCGATTGTCAGATAATCACTGACTAAATCAAAATAGTTCATTTTGAACATATGGAGTTATTAATATTAACGTTAAGGACTTGATGAATACGCTAAAGTATGTATAATTAAATAGTGTAAAGCTATTATTTTATAACTTACTATCAACATTAAGAGATTTGAACAGTCAATTACAATCTGCTAACAGACATATTTAACAACAGATGTTGTTAGGTGGTATTCAACGAATAAGGTAATTCTTACTGACATAATATATCTTGTAGCCCAATAAAACGAACATTTGTTTACATCGGGTATTGTTTGAAAAACAAAACGACTACATTTTAACGTTATCTGACCATGGTTAAAACGAAAACGAACTTTCTTCAGATTTCTCACTCATCCTAATATATGCAACGAATACAGCCTAAAATATTCCAATGATTAAATGTAATTAAAAGAAAATTATTTATTTAGACAATATGTTTCTAAGGTATTTATAAGGAATCGCTTAAATTATTTTTATTCCAACTTCAATCTATGCTCATCGGATTATTTTAGCACAAATTTAATCATCATTGAGTGAATGATGAGTATCATAAACGACAGTAATGAGAGCCAGTGGGTTGCCTTTTCACTCAAGTATGAATGATTTTAACCAGTTTTTTGTTTTGTCCACTCACCAGGTGTAACTTTAAACGTGACTTGATAAGGTCTTTCATCTCCTGGATGTTTGGTAAGATTGTGAATTAAGTTATATATATATATATATATATATATATATATATATATATATATATATATATATATATATATATATATATATATATATATATCATAACCATTAATGAAGTGAATGTAAGTTTCTGATAGGTAAATTTCTAGTTTCTGAGTTTCACGTTTGATGGAAGCCCAAAGAGATCATGATGAAAGTGCTCATTACTACCAAGCTTCTTACGGAAAAAAGTGTTATAAACATTGTTAGCTGATGACATATTCTCTGCAGTACAAATAATAAGTTTGTAAAACAATCAATTACTGAACAACATAAATTTGTGTTGTTGACTTGCTTGTAGGTTTGTGATAACATAACTATAACTAGCTACAGTTCAAATGAGAAATCCCGGAGCAGTCAATAATACCTTTATGTATACTTGAAAGTTGTGTATTTATCATAATTGTCTACCTCATGCAGTTAATCAAAATCAAGATCACTTGATGACATAACTCTATAATCAACTTCTTTTAGTATAAATTATTATCGTTCGTTTAATATGCAGCACACTATTCTTATCACGATGATTTTGTTTAAAACTTTAATTTTTTTCAGGTAAGGTCAATTGATGAGCTATTAAATCTCATTCATCATAGGTCTGGAAGTGGGTTAAGGTGTATTGAACTATCCAGCGATCTAGTCACTATACCAGTTTTAGAGGAACTTGGAAATCGATGTCCAAATCTTCGCTATTTAACTCTAGATTTTTCTAATGCTATGCAACTACATGATTTCAACGAACTGGCTTCATTCCCTTCATCAATTAAATATTTATGTATTTGTTTAAGTGATGTGATATTTATGGAAGGTTTAATGAGAAAAATCTATTCATGTTTATCAGCGGTTGAAATTTTGCACTTAATTGGTAAGTTCTTGTTGAGCTCATTCAAAAATTAGAATGTTTTTCGGAATATAACGAAAATTAAAACATTCATTATCATAATTTTTTTGATAGCTCATAAATAAACATGGAAACATATTTCTTTTATCGATTCGTGGTTTAATGTTCAATAATCGTGTATGTCAGCTAAGAAATCGTATCCTCAGACTCAGGTTTCAGCAGCTACGCTACACCACTAATTTTGCACACCAAGTGCGATTCAAGGTCGTAGATAAAAAAAATAATAGAGATGATAGTGACTAAGATTTTTAATTTCTGTTTAGACATGTTGCATAAATGCAAGAATAAAGGATTAATCCGAACAGTCAGAGTCAATACTTCATACTCATAGTCTTTTATCAATGGAAAAGCTTTTAAAGACGTGATCGCGTGATATACATAAACAATAAATACGTAGGGTATAACCAAATGAGATGAATATTGTGTCTTCCTATTGACAATAGAGTTTTAGTAAAACAGTTATCAGGCTTTTAAAGTTATTTAATTTCATAAATATAAGTCTAAATTATTTCTTACTTAAATAACAACAATACAAACCAAACATTGGTAGTTTTAAGACTACTTTTTCCAAAGACAATTTCACTCACCACTTTCAGTAAAAGTCTAAAAGTCCTTAGGATTGATTCTAATTGTATTAACGCCGATGCTCCTTCTAACAGCTAGTTCAGTGATTTTTATACGTACATGGAACGTCCGCACAATGTGGGAGACTGACAGGGCAGACGAAATAGCTACAGAAATGAAGAGAAACAACTTGACGATGCTCGGAATAGGTGGAACCCACTGTACTCAAGATGGACAGAAAAGGGAAGGTACTAAAGAGATGATGCTTTACTCTGATCACGAAGAAGAAAATTCTCCACCCACACAAAAAGTTGGTCTAATGTTGTCCGAAGAAGCATGTAAAGCACTCATAAGATGGGAATCTCATGGATCCAGAATCATCAGAGTATCCTTCAAAACAAAGAAGGAGGGAATTACAATGAATGATATCCAATGTTATGCACCCACTAATGATAGGAACGACGACAATAAAGATCAGTTCTATGAAAGGCTGCAATCGATCATATCGAAGTGTCCAGGAAAGAACCTGACAATCCTGATGGGAGACCTAAACGCCAAAGTCGGAATGAACAACACCAGATATAAAGATATCATGGGACGACATGGATAAGGAGAAAGGAGCGAGGCTGGCGAAAGATTTGCAAATCTATGTGCATTCAATAAATTAGTTATAGGTGGCACAATATTCCCGCATAAAGCTACATGGATTTCACCGAATGACACTACAGAAAACCAGATCAATCATATTTGTATCACTAAACAATTCAGAAGGTCAATGGAAGACGGAAGAACGAGGAGAGGAGCTGAAATATCTTCTAACCACCACCTGATTGTGGTTGCCAAGATGAAACTGATGCTAAAGAGACAACGGACGACTGGGGAGCAACATTACAAAAGTTTAGTACAGCTTTCCTTCGAGATACTGACAAACTCAACGAATTCAAGGAGAATACGTCATCAAGATACCAAAGAAAGGCGATTTCAGCAAGTGTGATAACTACAGAGGAATGACACTACTGTCAGTACCAGAAAACGTTTTCAACAGAGTGTTGCTCAACCGGATGAAAGAGGCAGTAGACGCCCAACTTCGAGATCAACAGGCTGGATTCCGCAACGATCGGTCGTTCAGACCAAATTATGACCTTACGGATCATCGTTGAGTTATCATTTGAAAGGAACTTGTCACTATACATCAACTTCAATGCTTATGAGAAGTGGTTTGACATTGTGGATAGGAGGACATTATGGTAACTTCTTCGACATTATGGAGTACCTGAGAAAATCGTCAATATCATCCGCAATTCATACGACGGACTACAGTGTTTTAGTAATAAAAGATAGATTGACAGCCACTGAAAAGCAACTGGCAGTTATTTCATCTTAATCAGTATCTACGGTCCTGCAGTGGATCAAATACAAGATACGCTCTCCGCAAGATTTGAAGTCCCTTGTTTAAATCTTCACTGAGGCCATGAGTGTTCATTGCTCAGTAGTCTAAAACTAGGACGAAACAAGTGTCTGGTACTTGCTGCTTTAAGTGATTGTTTATATACGGTCATTTTGTATCGTAAACTATCAAGCTCAACAGTCTCCACAAAGCCCTTACATTAAAAAAAACTATACTTGTTTGAAAACATGTGTTTATCTTACTACAACTTTAAAGTAAAACCATCTATTCATGTTAAAGGATTTAGCGAAAATTTCTCCATTATTCTAAGTATATTTAGGCGTTTAAGTTTTACTAACATCAATTCTGTTATTAATCTAATGTAAAATTACGGTTAAGTTAGTAGAAATCACTGTGTTACATTAAAAAGCTAGTTGTCTTCTATTTATTAAGTGAACTAATTTAGTAAGTACGTATTGTTTTTGTATTCAACTGAATAAAGTATGTTATATAGACAAGTAATACATAGTTTTAAATAGTGACCATTTTACAAAACAAAAAGTTCAATCTACAAAATTGACATGAAAATCAAAAAAGAAGAAAAAGAAAAAAATTTTACTTTCATAAACAAAATTTACTGAAAGTTTAAACATTTACAAAAATGTAACTGATTCTAGTTTATTTTCCAAAATATTCATCCTGTCATATGGTTCATTAAAGAAAAACGTTGTTGTGATAGTAATAAATATACTATGTTTTTACATTTGTTTACTTAACTAACATTATAAAAATTCTGAAATTGTTATTCTCTTTACTAGAAAGGATAAACATTCAATTTCATTTGAAAAAGTAGTGAAATATATCATGTAAACATAACTGTATATATATATATATATATATTGCACTATTGAAAACGTTTGAATAGTTAATGGTTGCCTACAATGAGCCATAAACGTCATCATGACAATGTACCCCGCTTTCTCGCGACGGGAGTGTTGTTTACGAAATTGAGAGGACGAAAAGTGAATGTTCGGCGCTATAATCGGGTTGGTGGATATGGAGGATTCCCTTAGAAGAGTTGGAAAACCCTAATTCCAAACCAATGGTGCACATGGGCTTCAGGATCCTGAGGGAACAAATGGTGTATGAACCTATTGTTTGTCACCGGCTACCATGGGACCGCATCTCCTGACGTTGCTCCACTACATTATGGATCAGACCTTTAGATCAAAGGCCCCGGGTGTGGTTCCTTAGGAAAACCACCTTCTACGACCTGGGCACCCGGACAGTATTACAGCCCATACACAAATCAAGTGACTTGTGTGACGCATATATATTCAGTGCCTTTATATACCAATATTTATGTGCTCAAATAAATAAATAATAATAAACTTTTGAATAAAAGCCAACTGAAAGTACACTGTATAAAAAGAAGTATGCAGAAAGAAACATAAAATAAAATATGGTTTAGAAATTCAATGCATTAAATATCACACAGATATGAAATTAAAGTATTAATCGTTGTAAATAAGTAAACAATTATAATAAATGTTGTTTAAGCATTTCGATTTCAGAATACTAAAATACAATCCATTTTGTTAAATAGTGTGTTTGATAAATTCTAGAAATCACAACTATTTGTTCAAATTTCTACCTGATACGTAGATATTGGCTAAATGTGAGTGTTAGTTAAGAAAACAGTTGATTGGATGGTAGAATTGTATTGCACGCTACTTATATTAACAGGCATAAGTGGCATGTAACATCAATCGGAAGTAGAAACCCTGGCAGCAAAAGGCAAAAAAAAGATCAAGTTGAAGAGGATATAAAATGAAATTGCGATGAATTTTGAATAGAAAGAATCATACAGAATGTGAAGGACAAATGATGAAAATTTTCAAATGAAGTATTCAATACATGGTTCTTATATTTTACCAGGATACTCTGTAACTTCGTATTAAAGTACATTGTTTATCCCTTACCTGTGTTCTCGTTCACAACAGACTGGATATATAGAGTTAAGCTGACATAAATCATGGAATAAGTTTGACTCCGTGCTCATTATGATCTATCATGAAATGTGATTTTATTAATACTTACCCCTAGTAAAACATCAATTTTACAAATCACAAGACCAGTTGTTTATCTAAGCTAATTAAATAAAGAAATTTAATAAAAACTTAACCATAGAATGTTTCTTTTATTTGTTTAAAGGAACATTTGAATTGGCCACAGAGGAAGAAGAAGAAATTTATGAAGTGAGTTGTGAGAGTAGGTTTTTCTTCTAAAAAATTCTTCTGTCTATTTAAGTAATTTAAATCTTGGATAAAACATCTACGCACTCTTATGTGCTAAATAATCAGCTAGCAAACAAACCAAATGTTTTTTTAGAGACAAATAGACAATCTATTTAGAAAAAGGACAGAAAATTCAACATTATTTAGGATCCAGTGAATACGCACAGTTTCATTTATTTTGAGACCTTGAAACCCATGTTGGTAAAAAGAAGATATTTTACAGTATAAATAAGGATATATACTAGTTAAATAAATTGTTTGCATAAACGAATCGAGTTTTATGAGTTATTAAGGGAATTTTCGAAGGGTATGTCGTCAAATAAGGTCGTATATTTTTTGGAGTTGAAAGCAAATGCTCTAGCAACAGTAGCTCGATGATATGTTTGAAGTCATCATAATTTTCAACCAATCGCTTTTAGCTTAATCAGAAATCTTAAATAGAATATAGTAAAGAAAAATTAGGAATTTAAAATGAGAATTGTTCTTTTTTCAGGGATGGAAATTATTTATTACTGAAGAATTTAAACTTATACACTGTAGGATTTAATTTGTCTTACAGATATTCTACTAGAATTATAAACGCGATACTGGCGACCCCAGAGTCCATATGAGAGCTATGGTCAGATGAAGGATAACTTGGCTTTAAACTTGATCTGTTTCTAAACGTAAAAATAACAATTTGATTAGTACAATAACTAAAGGAATTATAGTTATTAAGTGAAACGCACAAACATACCGACCAGTATTGAGTGTCTTATCGAAATGAATAAAAATTATGATTCACACTGCTATATTATAGGATAATAGTAGCTTTCAATTGACAGATCACATGCAACAAGGATAGTTTGCAGACACATCAGACCAGATTGACGTGACGGGAGCTTAAGCAACAATTTGATTTGTTAGTTATGGACATAACTAATATACACTATGTATTACATAAATGACAATAAAAAACGTCGACACTGTTGATACATATGAGTGCAAACTATATACATTTTAGGCAGAAGTTTTCATGTAAATCAATGTAGATTGTAGATGTATTTTTTAAAATTAAAATGCAATGCAATCGTAGAATATACTGTATATATTGAGTAGGTCAGTAACAGTGACTACGTATTGTTTTTATTCTCCCCATTTTATTTCTAGGTCTATTTATTACACATTAAAGCTATCAAATGTATGTTTACATATATTTTTATCTGTCATAAGGTTAAAGCAATTGCCAACTGCTCTATTCATCATTTTATGGAGTCTTTTAAATATTTGAAAATAATCTTTAATTTCATAACTCTTTATAAACCATTCCAGGAATCATTGTGTAAATAACAATGTAATGTAATTATTACTCTTATAAGTATACTCTAGAATAAACATTATTATAGCCAGTATGAATTTAGAGTAGCTTTCACACATTCAGTTAAGTTTTGTTTTGATGATTTAGTACAAGCCAGCTTGCAATGTTTAAGTGATTTGAACTAATAATCTGTTTTATATAAATCTCTCTCAGTATATAATTGTTAATTTCAAATGAAAACGACGAAATGATGTTCAGTATCATGCTGTTTTATACATGAGGGAGTTTAATTTTTAGTGGCTTAGCTTCGAAATAATTTCTTGGGCTTCTTAGATCAACCAACATGATAACCGTTATTAAACAAATGCCATGGTGTACGAATTCAGAAGGCGATATGAAACGCCAAGGTTTGAATCGATAATTTAAAATAAATTGAGTACATGGTAGACTCTTAATGATAAGAATAATGAAATATGAAGTGAAAAATTGGGTATCTTGTTACGTCTCTTGACTTCAACAGTTAAAATTTGTTTGCCATTCAGTTATACTATTTATTTCCTTGAAAAAGCTTGGACCAGATTGCTAGGCAAAACGTTGGATTTACTTCAAATTCATTCGCTGAGATTTTACAAATATATTCTTCCTCATTATTGTTTAATATAGCTTAGGAAACAGTGGAAATTATTTCTTGTTAGATTATGTCTTTAGTTAATGATATAAAATCTATTTTTGTGAACTCAAGATTGCCATAATAAAACTCAGCACTGCTTGGTTTTCTAGCTAATAAATTAGACTCCGAATTGTCACTATAAATATGACGGTTAGCATAATTGGGAAAGTACCAATTCTATTTAATTTTCTCTTCATTAATATTTGTGTTGTTCTCATAGTTGTAGTTATATACCATCATATAGTACTGCGATCACCTTAGAAATGTCAGTAATATGTGGCAACAGTCTAAAAGTGTGAAGATAGATCACAGCAGTTGAGTATTAGTGATTTTTTTAGAAAATGGATGTGGGTTATTGGAAATTTACAATAGCTTGATAAATTTACACTGTGCCTTCGCTAACTTATGGTTAAAATAGTGACTGGGGAAACTGAAAGTAGACATTTATCACACATTTTCTTTTCCTTACTTATTTTTTCAGGTCATCAATATAAGTAAAATTAAAGCCCATACACCTAATTTACGTGTTATCAATTTATTTGGTATCAACTTCATTGAAGATAGTCATGTGGAATTATTAGCCAGTAATTGTATTCATTTAGAATGTGTCGCGCTTAATTTTTGTTTAAATGTTAAGGGTTCATCATTTACATTATTGATCGCAAATTGTAAAAAGTTGACAACCCTACTTCTAGAACATTGTGGTGAGAGAAAATTTTCATTCTAAAGTTTTTATTTAAAATAATGCATTACTATAGTAGTTTATATTCTTATTTAAATTTGTATACTTTGTCAATTTAAATACAGCATGTTTTCAGATAATTAAAATAACTCATAGTGTCATTGAATAAGAAAAAGAGAATTCAGCGAAGAAAATTTTCTTTCGACGAAATCATTTACTTAAGCTGTACATTCGTATATATAGTTATATGGGAAATGTATGTCTGTAGAAGGATAGAATAGATTGTATCACAAAACTGGATTGGACAATGATGATTTAACTATATATACGAATGTACAGCTTAAGTAAATAATTTCGTCGAAAAGAAAATTTTCTTCGCTGAATTCTCTTTTTCTTATTCAATGACAGTATGTTTTATTGTAGAAATTGGAAGGTAAACATTTGATGCAACATGCCTTGATCACTTCAAAAGTTATCTGAATAAAAAGCTTATTTGGAGTAAAATGAATCATACTTATGAAAAATCTTTTCACTTATCATTTGTTGAAACTGTCTGTACTGTCTGGATGTACTCTGAGGTGCAGGCACATCCAACTGATGAGTCCCAAACAGGATGAAACGCGCGTGCTAGATTCCACTGCTAGACACTATCCATCTTTGCATATATAGCTTGTGACTTATGGCAATATCGAGACAGTCCACACATGATGCACATATGCTAACAAGAGATTGATCAATTATAGTCCTAAATAACAATGGGAAGATACAAGAAAACAATACCAAGTGAATTTGTCTCATTTTATTTAAGAATAACACACTGACTCACAGAAGAATAAATAAAGACGATTCAACTAAAGGAATTTTCTCATCAATGATATCATTTTCTAAAACTGTACAATCGTTTTTTTTTTAATTTAAAATACGTAAGTTTATAATTAAAATAGAAAATTATTGAATCCTATAAAAAGTGATCAAAAAACTTTGCGAGTTCCCAAACAAATTACTTTATGTGCTAAATTAGAAGTAAATTGTAGGTGGTATCCAGAACGCGCATTTCATCTTGTCTGGGACTTATTAGAAGTATGGACATGGATTCTGATGTTGATGTCTACAGTGGTACTCGAACATATTACTTATAACCCAATTACCTTGCCTATTTAAATATTTACCCTAATGAGTCACTGGCATATTCAATGTTTTCAAAAGTATTAGTAAATCTTTGTAATTCTACGTTTTTATTATCTAGATCTATAAGTGATCAATCTCTGTTTTAGTATGTGCATCCTGAGCGAATACCTTAGATACTATGGATCATATGTAGAACCTAATGAGTAGGGATAGAAAAACCACTCAAAATCGGAACATTTATGAGTTATTTAACAAAATGAAATGATTTTTCACTTAATGAGAGGCTATGGAGAACATTAGATAATTTTTTAGGCTTTACATTTACCTACATACAAAATGAATTTTCAAATAACATTTTGATCTTAACATTCAAACGATACTAATCTATATCTGTCCCGATTGATCGTATTATGAAAATGTACTAATTTTATTGGAACTGTTAATATGAAAGATTGTCAAGGAATGAATATCTTCTTTTTTTATACAACAAACGGTTTTAGAATGATGTAATTTTTATAGTATCGTTAGTGAGGTTTTTTTTCCATCAGTTATGTGTGTTATATACTTGTATTAATTGGTTTATTGATAATTGTAATTGTGATTTATTTGTACAAGGTCTCAAAGATGAATTTATGATGGCTGTACCATGGGAAAATTCAGGAATCTGTGAAATTGATATAACATCTACAGAATTATCTGCTGAATGCCTTGAAAACTTCTTAACACGTATACCATATTTTACTTATTTGGCAGCAGGTCATACAGATTTTTTTACTGATCATGTAAGTAATGTATAAATTTTTCGAAATTATATTAACTTACTCGTCACTAAACATATGACAACTTATGACTGTATTTTTAAAATTCAGAACGTTCTTTTGATTTACTAGTCCAGTTACTTAATGATTACAATTACGAAAAGGTTGAAATGTGTTTGATTTTATTTTTAAACTCCACCGTAGCAAAAATTTCAACGAACAATGGAATAGGATAGATGGAATTCGGCTAGTAATGTAATCTAGGAGGTGTTTTGCTCTACTTGATATTCATCAGCTGTATGTACTTGGATCCAAGTTTTTGTTCACTCAAGGACTCGAACCTAGTACCATTTGCTTCAAATGCATCCGTATTGTTCACTCGCCCATGGAGTTAAGATTAAGTTTCAGTAGAAATATGGAGAACAGGATAATTTAATCTATTTCAAGTTTAATTAAAGCAATAGAATAATTTGTATTGTACAGCAAAAGAGTTTATTATTCTAAAAAGGTTTGTACTTCAGGTTATTTCAGCTAACCATTTACTGAATTCAAGTTGTCTTTTTATGTACAGGTAAAGCTTAAAGAAGTGTATTAAAAACCACACTTAGCTAGAGATTGTACTTTCGATTAGCTGACGTACTTGTAAGAATTCAATGCTATCTCTTTAACTGTTCATTTATAATAATTTTAAAAAGTCAAGAAATACAGAAGAAAATGAAATGCTTTTAATTTATTGAATACAGGAACAAACTATCCGTAAAACTAAGAATGTTTTACCCATTTATATTCCATTTTTCCTGTGTTTCAAAATAGCCTGTAACAACACTGTCTACAATATAATTATTTAGAAACCTTCATTGAAAAATATTGTCGGCTTTTTTAACTCCTGAAAGGTTTGAAGTAGCCAACTTCATGTTTTGGTAATATATGAACTAGTTAACAATTGCAAATTTCAATTTAATAATCACACTATTTGTTTTTCTAGATATTGAATACACTATGCGACAGTGGTAAATTTAAGCAAGTCAAAGCTATTGATTTGAGTCATACACCGGCACTTAACGAACAGTCCATAACAAATCTTCTTAAGCTTCATGGTCATCAGTTACATGGTCTTATGCTACATGGAAAAGCTACTTTAGCTGAATATTTTTGGACTACTGTGATTCCATATCTTGGTGCGATAAAGTATGGATTTCATTCCTTATTACTCCGCAATATTTATTAATTTGTGTGGTTTGTGAAAATTGTTTTTTTAAGATAATTTAATCTTTAGGCTTTTATTGAAGAAAAAATCGCTAAAAACTAAGGAGTACCAGAGGACTTTTGATTCAGAACAGGACGCCTTCAAAATATTTCATAGATTAACTACTATATGTCTACTAGTATTTAAAGGTTTGAGATAGATTCTGAGAAGTCTTATAGAAAGTTCTGAATGGAGGAGTCAACTACGTCTGGTGTGAAAAGACATGACTACTGACGTTGGAAGATAGTTGTAAAATTTCAGAAGATGAATAAAGTTGAAAAAATAGACGATTGAAACTTGTAAAAGTAATAAACAATGTGGGTACAAGAAAATCTGAAGAGAGGTAATAAATGTAAGCGATATTTTTTAAATCGCAATAAGCTGACTGATGCATCACAAAATTCTGTTTTTTTAAACATCGTTTTAGTTTTGATAAGACTCTTGTAAAACGACCTTGCTCATTTAATACAATCAAACATAAATTGTGATCTACTCTAATCAGTATAATAGCAAGGATTATTATTCTTTAGACCAGTAAAATATCGATATCCAAATGTCTAAGTGTACTTGATGATTGTTTTCTACGTAGATAAACATACATTTCACAACGGTCAGTGAATTGTAGTTATGCAGATTTTTCTAATACAGTTCCAAGAGGCGTTTGTTCAAAGTAAAATCACCTTGTCTGATGGTATATAAATGAATCAAATTTAAAGCTATAAAATTAGAAAAGGCGATCGTAAAATAATACTTGGCGAAAAACGTAAAGTAACGAAAAGATAATTCATATATTTTGTCAAATTATTAGGCTTTTAGAAATAACGGTATCATCCACAGTGACAATCATTTTAACCTTTCTAACAACTGTTTAGGGTAAATATATATTTTTCAAAATTCTTAGAAGATATGATGCAGTTATAAAATATTTCACGGCCATATTTCTCCATAACTTGAGCATATTTAACACCTACAGAGAGCCATCTAAGTTCACATCAATAATTTGTTCCTTTCTTATAAATTAGTAATCAGTAGTTTAGTAAGAGGCCTTCATATTTTGTTAAAGTCCTATTTCCCTAAAGCCAACATGGTACATATGAGGATTGAATAAAGCACTTTTAAGCAGTATTATTTCTAAGCAAAATACTATCACTAACAATATCGCTGCACATATCATTAGGAAACATGTAAAAATAAAAGAACGATAAACTAAACTTTATTTTAAAATACAAAGGTTTCTGTCCAAAAGAAAAGTGGAGTGAGTTACTCTATAAACTTCGTCTTTCCGTATTGCTTAAGTCAACCAAAAATATCTTATGAACTATTTCGCTAGTACTTGAATAATTTTACACCTAGAAACAAACTGTTCACACTATAAGCTTTGCTATAACATGTTTGGGGGTACAAAATCGGTTACAAAACACTTTAATATGATGATGTTCAGCAACTGCTACAAAATACATTTTTTTCTTCAGTCTTATTTCATGAGTTATTCTATTTAGTAGTCTATCTTCTATGTTACTCAACCGCGCTATTTTATGAATGGCTACTTTTGTTTTAAATTACATCATTTTATATAAAATAATTAAAATTCTCTTTTTTTGTGAACTGGATCAGGGTTTGTGTACTTGGAGCATCACATGGTTGGTTTTATAAATACAACACACGAGTTCATATTGATAAAATTCTAGAAAGTTTTGCCGGATATTGTCCAAATTTAGAAGCATTAGAAATACAATGGGATCCAGATACTATTCGTTTTAGTGATAAAAGTAGAAAATTCATTGATCGAATTAGGTGAGTTTTTTTAGTGATACATTGTTTTAACAATAATATTCAATAAGTAGTTTGTTTATTTGGAATGACAGATAAACAATTAATTATGTCAGAATTTCAACATTTAAAAGTAATTCATATTTAAGAAGTTGAACAATAATCATTACTTTTCTTTAGATTATGAAGTTCCTATGTAGCATACAAATGAGAAGGTTCAATTTAACTTCAGTGCTAAGTTTACACCATAGACTATTCGATAATACTCTCATCTTCATAAAACTCTGAAAAATAATGAAATTAAATCAGTTTTATTTTGTTTGATAAAAAACACGTAGGACATTTCCAACGATTTGCATATCTTATTTGAAGTGAATTGTATTTGAATGAAAGTTTGGCCAACGAAGTTCTTCTCAAGCTTCAATAACTATCGTGCCAATGAAGTGTACTAGTGTTTTTGAGTGTTCATGTACACAAATAGGACGTTCATAATGTTGTGTTTAACAACATTATGGAGATTACAGTTATTCAATTATCAGTATTTTGGATTATTAATAGAAATGTCCGAAGTAATTTTAGGGGACATTCTCCAAGTGAATATTCTTATTTGTAATGTTTTTGTCTTTGTACTATTAATAATCAGGATCACCCTCAATCTCTGCCGGGTTACTCACCCATGAAACGATACCTGAATATTTCTTGTACTGACAAGTTAATCGTATTTTCTAGAGTGCCTAGCAGTAGAATTCAGAGTACTAATTTCACATCCTATTAAATGATTGATATAACAATTATGACTCAGAAGCTTAGTGAAAAATCTTCTTCATATTGAAGCAATAGATTCTGGGTTCAATTCTCACTACGAATATCATCACTGTGATCCGAAAATATCTAGCAGACGATTCCCGAATAAGACAACACTCCCATCCAATTTGACATTATTAAGCACTTTCGAAAATATTACCCTATGGTTACTAATAAGAAGTAAAGTAAAAATATTCATTTCCTCTATAATTTGAGAAACTTGGATACTGTTACATAAGTTCGTCTAGGATATTTTATCATCTGTACATTTAATACAGACCTTCTTCGTATTTTCTTGTTTCAGAATCAAATGTCCTCGATTGAAGTCTTTAACTCTTAGTGATGGAAAGTACTACGAAATGGTTAAAGGAAATTTTGAAAGAGCAGAATGTCCTAGAGTAGTACGCACTACAACTACGTATATTACAAGTATTATTAGCTTACTGAAACGTTATAAGGATTTGAGATTTAATTAATTCTATAAACTCACATGTAATCGCTCTTTTAGATTTTATACAATTCACAGAAATAATCAGGTGAAAGAATATTCAAAATAAAAATGATGAATTGCAGATAATCACTTGAAATTTCAAATTGATGTGCGAGAAAATCACAAGTCCTATAGTGCTGCCAATAAAATAACATTCAAATTTGTATGTTGTTAATTTGCCAATATTTTTTGAAATCTGCTATTGTCAAACAAATAGAAATACACAATCATACTTTGTAGAAAATATGATTTTGCCTTTTTTATTTTAGTTTTAACTCCATGTAATATTTCCTTCAAAAGTAAACGTCGCTTGATATTTAGTGAGAGTATGCTTTAAATACGTTTAACGTCAAAGAACATTTAATAATATAAGTTTGTCTTTTAGATAGCAAAAATATTTTCTCATCTTCATAAAATCATAAATGCCAATCTTTCAGTGCAGGGTTGTGGATCTTGTTTATTTATCAAAATCTGTCATGTGTACACCTTATATGACGATGAACCTTTGATTTTTACACTCGAGAAATCGTGATTAGTTCTTGTATCGGTATATTAAGTTTCTTGTTGATCTTAGATGAATTCGCTACTACTCACTCTACTCATTATTTAATTATCTTTGTGGGTTATCGTATTCGTGGGGTTCTTAGTTCCTGTGTTTATTTTGTTCTAAGTACCGTTCAAACTGAGAGGAAGCCATATTGTTTGTTTAGGTTGCAACTCATAGTTTCAATTAACTCGAATAAATTAGCTTACAACGGTTCTATTATAAATCAAGATCGTTAGTATAGTTTCTTTTCCTACAGACTAACCACCTGATGTCTTGCAGCACAAGATTTGTACGAAATTTCTTGGCTGCTTCATTTTATGTGACTGAGTGATTCAAACATTAGACAACCAATTTACCTTCCTAGTTTGGTAGGAATAAACTTATTATGTTGTTTGTCAATTTTCACTCATTTGTCGTGTTACATTTTGCAGATTAACTAACTGACTGAAAAACTTTTCGACGTCATTCATTTAGGTGTTTCAAATGGTTAATTACTTGCTTACGCCTGTTATCCCCAGTGGAGCATAGGCCGCCAACCAGCATTCTCCAACCCACTCTGTCCTGGGCCTTCTTTTCTAGTTCCATCCAATTCTTGTTCATTTTTCTCATGTCTATTTCTATTTCTCGGCGTAATGTGTTCTTTGGTCTTCCTCTCCTCTTTTGGCATTGAGAATTCCATGTGAAGGCTTGCTTTGTGATGCAGGTGGGCGCTTTCCCCAATGTCTGTCCTATCCACTTCCAGCGCTTCTTCCTGATTTCTTTCTCCGCTGAAATCTGGTTTGTTCTCTCCCACAGTTGGTTGTTGCTAATAGTGTCCGGCCAACGGATCCGAAGTATTTTGCGTAGACAGCTGATAATATATACTTATATCTTCTGGATGATCGCTTTCTAAATTCTCCAGGTTTCCGCTCCACACAGTAGAACTGTCTTGACATTTGTTTTGAAAATTCTGACCTTGGTGTTGGTTGACAGTTGCTGTGAGTTACAGATGTTCATCAACTATAGATATGCTATTCTTGCTTTGCCGATCCACGCCTTCACATCTGCATCAGATCCACCCTGTTCATCAACGATGCTGCCCAAATATGTAAAGGTTTTTACATCTTCCGAATCTTCTCCGTCAATTGTGATTGGATTGGTGCATGCTGTATTGTGTCGATGAATCTTGCTTTTCCCTTCATGCATGTTGAGGCCTACTGCTGCTGAGGCTGCTGCTACACTGGTCGTCTTCTCCTGTGTTTGTTGTTGCGTTTGGGATAGAAGGGCCAGATCATCTGCGAAGTCTAGATCGTCCAACTGCATCCTAGATGTCCACTGTATCCCGTATTTCTCCTCAGATTTTGAAGTCCTCATAAACCAGTCGATCCAGTCGGCTTTCACCATAAGGCGTCGTAACTCATGTAAATGAAGACCTTGTGAGCCCCAGGACAGAGTTTAAGTGGTTTGAATAATTTTTTCTGGTTAGCGTTTTTTGGCGAGTTAGTTTTCTGCGGGATGGGGTCGCTAACCTCATATCCAATTCTCTTTCTTTATCCGGGCTTCAGACCGACAGTAGCCTCAGAGGGGCTCCAGGTGGAGTTGTTTTATATGGTCCAAACTCATGATTTGAAGGGAGAACTACTTGGTGGGCTGGATGAGTACAATAAGTTCTAGGATCAAGAAGTGAAGTTCCTATGACGTAGGTTTGATTTCAGTAATTACAACTTCATAGTGGTATTTTTTTCTCAGCCAAACGATACTCGCTGACTGTCACGATGGGGCGAGTCAGTGGAGACTATGTTGGGACTTCCACGTATGATCTTATAGGTTATGTAGTTACTTTATGAAAAGTCACTGCGCTTGAAGAGCAAATGATGATATAATCGAAACCGAAGAATGAACGAAGTAGTACCCGCGAACTTTGAAAGTGGTAACATTTTTTCACGTGGTTTAGGAATTTTTCGACTTGCTCTTGTAGGGTGTATTATACAGTGATTATCATCCT